CAACTGCCTGCACCACCAGGGAGGCCCCGTCATTGTTTTGATTTGCATTTCCCTGATTACAAGCGATGTTGAACATTTTTTCATATGCCTCATGGCCATTTGCATTTCATCTTTGGAGAAGTTTCTTTTTAGGTCTTCTGCCCATTTTTGATTGGGTTATTTATTTTGTTTTTGTTGAGTCTTGTCAGCTCTTTGTAGATTTTTTGTGATCAGTTCCTTATCATTGGTGCTGTGTGAAAATTTTTCTCCCAATCAGTGGCGTGTCTCTTTATTTTGGTTACTGTCACTTTTGCTGTACAGAGGTTCTTTAATTTGATGTAGTCTCAGCTGTTTATCCTTTCCTTCACTATCACTGCTTTGGGTGATGTGTCTGTAAAGATGTTACTGAGGTGTATGTCATGCAGTGTTTCACCTATTTTTCCTTCTATATATTTTGTGGTTTCAGATCTTATGTCTAGTTCTTTAATCCATTTTGAGTTGGTTTTTGTGCATGATGTGAGGTAGTAGTCAAGCTTCATTCTTTTTCATGTAACGGCCCAGTTTTCCCAGCACCATTTATTGAACAAACTTTCTTTGTTCCATTGCATATTTTTTGCTCCTTTGTCAAAGTTTAGTTCACTGTAAATCTGTGGGTTTATTTCTGAGTTTTCTATTTGGTTCCATTGGTTTGTGTGTCTGTTCTTGTTCCAATACCATACAGTTTTGATTATTATGGCTTTGTAGTATAGTTTGAAGTCTGGGAGTGTGATACCTCCATTCCCTTTTTTATTTATTTTTTTATTTTTTTTCAGGAGAGCTTTGGCTATTTGGGGTTTTTTGTGGCTCCATATGAATTTCATCAATAATTGTTCTATTTCTTTGAAGAATGTCATTGAAATTTTTATTGGAATAGCATTGACTCTGTAAATTGCTTTTGGTAGGATGGCCATTTTGATAATGTTAATTCTTCCAATCCATGAGCAGGGGATGTCTTTCCATTTCTTTGTGTCTTATTTCTTTTAACACTGTTTTATAATTTTCTTTGTATAGGACCTTTACCTATTTTGTTAGGTTTATTCCCAAGTATTTGATTTTTTTTTTTTGTTTCAATAATAAAAGGGCTGGTTTTCTTGATTTCTTCTTCTTCTTCTTCATATTTGTTGTTGGTATATAGGAAAGCTACTGGTTTTTGCATGTTGGTTTTGTATCCTGCTATTTTACTAAACTGGTTGATTAGTTTGATAAGTTTTTCTGTGGAGTTTTTGGGGTTCTTTATGTGTATTATCATATCATCTCCGAATAGTGATAACTTTACTTCTTCTTCCCTATTTGGATTCCTTGTATGCCTTTCTTTTGTCTTATTGCTCTGGCTAGGACTTTCAGTATTATATTGAAAAGCAGTGATGAGAGTGGACATCCTTGTCTTGTTCCAGATCTTAAGGGAAATGTTTTCAGCTTTTCATCACTGAGAATGATATTGGCTATGGACTTCTAATATATGGCCTTTATGATGTTGAGGTATGTTCCTTGTGTCCAGAGAATTTCAAGGGCCTTTATCATAAATGGGTGTTGACTTCGTTGAAAGCTTTCTCAGCATCTATTGATATTATCATATGGCTTTTATATTTCTTTTTGTTGATGTGTTGGATTACATTGATTGATTTTTGGATGTTGAACCATCCTTGTATTCCGGGAATAAATCCTACTTGGTTGTGGTGAATTATCTTCTGGATACATTGTTGGATTCTGTTAGCTAAAATTTTATTGAGGATTTTTGCATTAGTGTTCATTAGAGATTGGGTTGTAGTTTTCTTTCTTTGTGTTGTTCTTGTTTGGTTTTGGTATTAGTGTAATGTTGGCTTCACAGAGCATGTTTGGTATTATCCCTTCCTTCTCAATTTTTTGAAAGAGTTTATGTAGGAAAGACACTAGTTCATTTCTGAATGTTGGTAGAATACATTTGTAAATCTATCTGGTCATGAGCTTTTGTTTTAGGGGAGGGTTTTGATTATCATTTCAAGTTCACTGCTTGTAATTGGTCTGTTTAGGTGTTCTATTTCTTCTTTATTTAGCTTTAGGTGATTATAAAGTTGTAGGAATTTGTCCATCTCTTCAAGATTGTTGAACTCATTTGCATATAACTGTTAATAGTAGTTTCTGATTATTCTTTTTATTTCTGCTGTGTCTCTTGTGATGTCTCCTCTTTCATTTGTGGTGCTATTTATTTGTGCTTTCTCCCGTTTTTTCTTTGTGAGACTGGCTAGGTGTTTGTATATTTTATTTATTTTTTTGAAGATCCAACAGAAAGTTGATTTTATTTTAAAGATTGGTAAGTTTCTAGACAGGATGACCAAGGAATAAAACAGTGAACAACATTATTAATATTAAAAACCCTATGAATATTGAAAGGATAGTAATGACATATTTTGAACAACTCTATGCTCACCATGTAACTTAGATGAAATGGACAAATCCTGTGGGTTGTTTTCAATAAATAGGATTATGGCAAAAGTATTGGATTTTATTCTGAGCATAAGGATTTACAAGTCCTTTTTCTGGGCTCAAAGGGCTAGTCATCTTTCTTGGGTACTCTCTGGCTCTCTCGCAAGATACCATATTGTGGGGAGACACAGGATGCCCTCGTCACAAGGAATCAAAGCCTGACAGCAACCACATGAGTGAGAGTGTAAGTGGGTCATCTGAAGCCCACCAACAGTCATGTAAAGAGCTTGAATGTGGAACTCCCATCCCGACTGAGCCGACAAATGAGACTGCAGCCCCAGATGATATGGCAGATTGAGAGTGACTTCGTTAGAGACTGAGCCAAAGGCACCCAGCTAAGCCAGGCATAGATTACCGACCCACAAAAACCGTGATATCCTAAATGTTTGCTGCTTTAAGCTGCTAAATTTTGGGACAGTTTGTTACAAAGCAGTAGATAAATACTACATACTCTGACTCCAAAATTCTATTTCAATGTACATACACCAGAGCTGTTTTTTCCAACTCTTTTCACATCAAAGCACACATTAAAAATGCCGTAATTTTATCAGCCCACTGGGATGAAAAATCCCCACAGCACCACCTGGATGATACTATGCCATCTTTCTGGATATTGAATATTGAATGCATATATTAGAAGGGTGGGTCAATAGATCAGAGATGTCATTATCCAGATGGGAAGCTCTGCCCCAGACGAACTCTTCCAAATGGTGACAAGAAACCATGCACTGTGGTGTTCATTGAATCTTCATTGATGATTAAACAAAGCAGAAAACAACCCAAGTCCACCAGCAGGGAAGGAGATGAATAAATTGGATACTTCATGCAACAGAAGTCCATGCAATCATGTTATAGTAATATCATATTGCAAGATTGAAACCATAGTATTCTGCAGGTAAAATACATGACCTAGATTTAAATGTATCAAAATCACCAAGTTTCAAAAGAAATAATAGAGCAAAAAACTTAAGTAGCAAGAGAATATATTTTGCCACTTAAATATCATGATACTATGTACATAATTCAGATTAGAGAAAACAATACTGTGTATCAGTTATAGATATATGCATATGTAGAAAAGGAAAGCCAAACATGGGTGAAAGGAAACATCAACTTCTAAACCAGTGCTTCTTTTGGGAACAGGAGATGAATAGGATAAAGTGAGGGTTTCAACTGTAATAGTTTGTTTCAAAATCAGAGGAATCTGAGGATCTGAAGAAAATAAAATTTCCTCTATCTGTGTGGATGTACATCCCAACTTTTATTTTACACTATATTTTTTAGTGTGTTTGAAATATTTGAAAGTGTTTTTATGAAAAATGCATCCTCTTCTGAATACAAAAAAATAGATCAGGCTTATTATTGTGTTGTTCAATCTCTTTATATCCTTATTTATTTTGCACTCTTTGATCTTTCTATGCCATAAAAAGTGTCATTAAATGTCTGCTGTGATGGCACACTTTCCAATTTCTCTTTATAATCCTACCAAGGTTTGCCTCATCTATTACTGCTGAAGTGGTACACTGTGCTTTTTTAAAATTTCTCCCCTCTCTCCCGCAGACCTTGCCCCTTTGTGCTTGCTTTTATTTAACTGATTTGTATTTTCCATTCCTTTAGGTGAAACTCATATACATAGCATATAATGGCTTTCTAAAAACGAAATGCTCAAAATGAGAGTTTGCTTTTTTTTATATAGGAGATGTCAATTCATAATACATACTGATATATTTGGGTTTGTTACTGCCTTTTGCTTTGTAAAATTTTTTCTTGTTTCCTCCCACTCCATTTCTGCCGTTTGAAAGATTGGGTTTTTCTTTGTTCTACACATTTTTTAAGTGGTTTGAGACTGATACATTCTATTTCTAATCTTCTGTCCTCCCCCCCATAACCTGGTTATCCTAATATGCATTTTATTTCCACTAAGAACAAAACTTTACTGTTGTGAATACAAGAAATGTGTCTTTGATGCAAGTATCAGAGATACATTATAAAGTGTAATTTAAAAAAGGGTTCAGAATTGTGAACCTGACTTGTGCTTCATGATCCACCATTTGTTTGGGGCAGAGAAGTTTGATTTTGTGATTAACAGCAACAAATTCCACCATAAACATTTGAATTTGCTTTAACCACCAAGTTAAAGAAAAAAATCCAAGCTTACTGTAACCCTAAATATAGTTTCACATTTTTAACACATCTAGTACAAACCGTAACATCTAATTTAGGATAGGATATATTCCTATAATTACTTTCACAATGGAATTAATCAGAAAGAATTTGCAGATTTCCTTTTATTAAAAAAAAAAAAACACAAACAGAAGGGAAGATGGCTAGAGGTTTAACATTTGTGAAAGCTGGCTGTTGGTTACATTTTTTGCTGTCTTTTTCAGTATCCTTGATGATTTCGTCATTTAACATGAAATAATGCCTTTGAGCCCACCCTGATTTGTTGAACGCCGCTGACGCCCCCGCCACATCGAGAGGGCGGGGACCAGCGACTCCACAATCACTTCCGCCGCCGTCGCCCGCCGCGCTGCTGTCTGGCGGGGGAGGAGCTGAAGGCCGGCGAGCAGCGGCTCAGCGGTCGTGGCGCTTGGACGTCCGAGAGCTCTGCTCCTCCGGAGAGCGTGCGGGCGTCGTCCCTGGGTGAGTGAGAGGCCGTGGACGGCCTCGATTCGGCCCGACGTGGCGGAGGGCCGAGTGGCCCGGCGTGGGCGCCGGCGGCCGGGCGCGGGGGCGAGGGTTTGGGGCTGTGAGTCTCAGCGAACGGATTTTTCAGGCTCACCCCTCGGGAAGGGGTGGGGCAGACGCGGGACCTCACTGCGGAGTGAGGCTCGTGTCCTCCTTTGGCCGGTTCGTGGGCCCCATCCTCCGTCCCTTTCGTGTGGCCTGTCCAGGCCCCCCAGGGTTTCCAAACATCGCTATCTGGGAGGGGAGTAGTGGTCGAGGCCCTCTCCCACCTCCTCTGCCTCTAGTCCCCTCCTTCCCTCTTGGTCTCTCTGCAGGGTACCCCGTGGCCTTTCTTCCCCCATTTTGCCGTTGTCTTACTGAAAGGTGAATTGTTAGCATTTTTTTTGGTAAATATATTATTTCCAGGAAAAGAATTTTCTGAAAAAACAAATTAGCCCCAGGGAAATACTATACCCACACGCCCCTTTCTTCCACTCCCCCCCCCCCCCCCGTGCCATCCTTTTGGATCTGATCTGTCCATGGAGCTGATAATGTTCTCATGTCTCTCCGTGTGACATTGTGCCCGCTCCCAACCTCCTGTCGGCCATGTGTACTGGGACACAAACACCACAAACACAGGCATACACACATACAGACATTCACCTGTACCCATACACCCACACACAGAAATCTTACACTGCACCCCAATACTCCCCGCCACCCCAATACTCAACGTTCTGGTCTCCCTTCCCGAGTAAGTGCTTGCATGCATACATGCACACACACTCTCTCACACACTGTCATGCCCTCCTGTGCCTTTCCCCCCACACACACAGTACCACACACCATCCAGTGCCTTTCCTTGCCTCTCACTGCCTGCCACACACACACCTCCAGAAGCGACCGCCTTCTCCTTGTGCCTGTGTGCTCTCATGTGTACACACAACACATACAACACACATATAAGGACATCTTGGATTGCTTGCTCCTTTTTCATACTCCACTTACATACAAGTGCACCCACGCACACTCCTTCACACACCCTCTCAAATGCTCCCAGCTCCTGCTCTCTGTCTGCCCCGTATGTGCATAGATAGCCCTCCTTTCTGGCGCCTGCCGTGTATACACTGACACATAAATCCTTGTGGGGGATGCCTCCCCCCTCCTGCTATCCACTTTTGCCTATGCAGACATCCTTTGACTGCTGGCCCCTGGTCCGCCCACAGCAAGCACACCCCTTTCTAGTTTTGTTTCCTCACCAATGTAACTTGCCACTTGGATGAACACACACACATGTACTCATGCACACCCCTGTCCATTGCCACCATACCCATCTATGCCTGCCACAAACATAAACATGGGCAGCCCAGAGATTCCAGCTGCCCCCCCCCACTTTACTCTGATACTTACACACACCCTTCTCCTCTGAAGCCACCCTTCCTATGCTTCTCATTTTTTACTCACATCTAGAATGGGTCTCATTCTCTCTGACACATCTTTTCCCACCATTACCTGGCCCTCCCCCCTACACACATAGACAGCTCTCCATTGCATCATCACTGCTCCCCCTCTACCTGCCCCTCTTCTCCCCACTGATATGTAGGCACTCATGAACATGCTGTGATCTCTGATTTCCACCTTGTTCCAATTTGCATTTCTCCTGCATGTCTGTAGGGCTCAGAAAAATGCAGACACCCCATAAATAAAAAGGCATGGTGCTCTTTCCTCTTCCCACATTGGCACAGTTCCGCAGTACTTCATCCACCTGCCAAGTGTCCAGTCACCTCCACCTTCTGTCAGATTCTCTCCTAAATCTGGCTTTCCTACAACCCCAGTTTTGTGATCCTTTGGCTAATATTGAAAATGTTTTCCAGGTCTTTACCTGACAGCCACTGGAATGCTACTCCAGGGCTTAGAAGAAAGTGAAACTAAATTTAAATGCCCCTTATTCTGTTACCTGTCTGCAGGAGGCAAAATAAGTCTCCCTGCTTCTTTCTTCTGAACCAATTTAACTCCCTTCTACAGAGTGTGCAGGGGGCAGGAGCCATTCCACTTGTGCCCCAGCTGTATTGGAAAGCCTCCTAAGTTAGAGCAGTGAGTCAGGAATCTAGCAAGCCTGTATGGCCCAAGCCAGCAGAAGGGTTTCAGGTGGCAGCAGCGCAGGCGATATGGAAGAGAGCATGCTTATGTTGGTTTCAGGCCATCCACGAGCCAGCAGGAAAGGATTTACTGGCAGAGAAATACGACATCTGAAGTCCCAATGCACAGATCAGCCCCCAGCCAAACCACCAAGAGGAGCCGATCGCCTTTTTCTAGCACACGTCGGATTTGGGACGACAGTGCAAGCTCAGGGGCGAGCCTGAATGTTGATGATGAGGACTACTCCAGGTACCCGCCAAGAGAGTATAGGGCTTCGGGGAGCAGAAGAGGAATGGCTTATGGACATGCTGACTGTTTGGGGGCAGATGATAGTGAGGAGGAGGGGGCTGGGCCTGTTGAGCGTGCACCGGTGAGAGGGAAAACTGGCAAGTTTAAAGATGATAAGCTGCATGATGCAGAGAAAGGTGCAAGGTCTTTGGCGGGAGTGCCCTCACAGTTCTCTGGTTTTAACCATGATGTGAGAGAGGAGCTTGACAAGCTAGAGCCAGCCCCTGCAGCCAGGTGTTCTGCTAGCAGAGCCGAGTTCCTGCAGCAAGGTAGCATGGCTTCTCAGAAGCCTGCAGAAAGCAAGGTGGCTACAAATGGTGACCACCTGGAGAGGGAGAGACAGGAGCAGAATTTACCTGTGTGTCCCAGCAGGGCTCCTGTGAGTATCTGTGGTGGTGGGGAAAACACCGCAAAGAGTGCAGAGGAACCAGTGGTGAGGCCCAAAATTAGAAATCTGGCCAGTCCCAACTGTGTGAAACCAAAAATATTTTTTGATACTGATGATGATGATGATATGCCACACAGTACTTCCAGGTGGAGAGATACTGCCAATGCTGATGATGGCCACTCAGATGGCCTGGCAAGAAGAGGCAGAGGTGAGAGTTCAAGTGGCTACTGTGAGCCAAAGTACCCAGAAGACAAGAGGGAAGCCAGGAGCGACCAAGTGAAGCCAGAAAAGGTGCCAAGACGGAGACGAACCATGGCCGACCCTGACTTCTGGACATACAGTGATGACTACTACAAGTACTGTGATGAAGACTCTGACAGTGATAAAGAGTGGACCGCCACTCTGCGTCGTAAGTATAGAGGTCGGGAGCAAGTTCTGTCCTCCAGCAGTGAAAGTTGGGAGACACTGCTGGGGAAAGAAGAGCCAGAAACTGAACAAGCCAGAGCTAAAGCCAGTGCTGTTACCGCTGCTGGTGCCACCGCCAGTGCCAGTAGCCTTGGCAGCAAAGAACTCGGAGAAGCTTGCGGACCATCTCTTCAGGAAGAGGTGCAGGCATCCCCAGCAGGAGGACAAGCCCCTTGGCACCAGTATACTGAAAATGAGAGCAGCAGCGAGGGTGACAATGATTCGGGCCAGGAGTTTCTGCAGCCCGGGGTGTTCATGCTGGATGGAAACAACAACCTGGAAGATGACTCCAGTGTGAGCGAAGATCTCGAAGTGGATTGGAGCCTCTTTGATGGGTTTGCCGATGGGCTCGGTGTGGCTGAAGCCATCTCCTATGTGGATCCTCAGTTCCTTACATACATGGCACTCGAAGAACGCCTGGCCCAGGCCATGGAGACTGCCCTTGCGCATTTAGAGTCGCTCGCGGTAGACGTGGAGGTGGCCAATCCGCCGGCGAGCAAGGAGAGCATCGACACTCTCCCTGAGATCCTGGTCACTGAAGACCACAGTGCGGTAGGGCAGGAAATGTGCTGTCCAATCTGTTGCAGTGAATATGTGAAGGGGGAGGTAGCCACCGAGCTGCCCTGCCACCACTACTTCCACAAGCCATGCGTGTCCATTTGGCTTCAGAAGTCAGGCACCTGCCCTGTGTGCCGCTGCATGTTCCCTCCCCCACTGTAAGACCAAGGCACTTTACTCTTGGTCTGATGATTTTCCCCATCTGAAATCCACTATACTGCAGGAGCCCTTGCACAATTAACAATTAAATTGAAACCATTAAAATGAAAACAATCATTCGATTAATCTACACCTGTTGATTCTTTGTGATTTTTTTTTCCTCCAATGTGAAAATGGTCATGTACGACTCATTAAAAATCATACTGTCTTTTAGAGGTTAGAAAGGAAAAACTAAACTTTCTAAATGCTACTTGAGATTGCAGTAAGAGCATACATTTTCTAACAGGAAAGTTGAAATCAATTGCAGTTGTTTCCTTTAGTAGAATATGTTGCTGTTAATTGTAACATCAGGTTAATCTGTTAACTATGTCCAAGAGGCATCATTTTTGTTGCATGTTATGGGTTAATGTTCCTGTAATGCAGTGCCCGTAAAAGCCTATTAAAGTTCTTCTTCTGGTTTTACATGGTATGGTGGAATTGCTTGGCTTTGCCTAAAACAGTGGTACTAAGTGACTTTCTCATTGATCCCTTGCATCTACATTCAATAGGTTTTGTGGGCATTCCTGGAGTAGAAAAGACGTTAGTTTCACTGGGAATGCGGACTCAGCAGCAAAAATGAAGGATAATTCTTTTTGAAAGTAGGAGTAAAGTGTATGCTTTTCATACTGTGATGGGGGCAATGGAGAAGACGCCGTCGGTCTAGGGGAACAAAAGAAACAAAAAGCATGGTAAAACCAGGGCACGCTGATGGGAATAAATCCAAACTGACTGTAGGGATGAAGGAGTTCACATCAACTTTTAGAAATAGAAATCTCAGAGGGAATGGGTAAAAAAAAAAAGCTGCTTATAACATGCAGACTAGTGCTGTGTTAAAGAAAGGTGTCCACCTACATTACACCCAGCTACACAGAGTGAACTCAGTGAATTTGGCCATATTGGCTTCAGCTTTGCTCTCGCTCTCACTCTCACTCTCGTGCATGCTCTCTCCTGCTGCCCAACCCATTATATTTACCTTCTTTCCTCTACAGAGGTAAGCACTATGCAGAGTGTATTCACTTCTTTTTTACATGTGTGTGCATGTATGTGTAGCTATATGTATATGTGTAGGCTAACATGTACATGCATCCATAACCAATATAGGGTGTTTGTTTTTTAAATGGATATCATTGATAGAATGTATGTATCGTTTTACAACAGGATTTTTCCGCTCAACATTGTTTTCAAGATTGAGCCATTTTGGGCCTCCCATGGTGGCACACGCTGTTGAGCGCAGCGCTGGGAAGCTCTCCGCAGCCTCTGCAGAGCTGGTTCAATCCCGGCCGGCCGGCGAGGGTACCACATGGCATAGCAGACCTCTCCTGTCGCACCCGCTGCTCCCCTCAGCAGTGTATTTCTTCAGTCTGCCTGTTCTGTTCCCCCTCTGTCTCTGGTGAATCCTCTCACCCTCCCGTGCATCTGGCCTGTACCCCGGATCTGTATAAATAAATAAATCTTCAAAAAAAGATTGAGCCATTTTGATACATGCAGAGCTAGTTCATGCAGTTTAACTGCTGTATATTAAAATAATCAATTGTGTGAATCACCACAGTTTATCCATTCCCATTATTTTGTGGTAATGAACCTACTTAATAGAGGCACCTGTGTGAGTTTCTCTGGGGTAAGTATTTGGAGATGAAATTTTTAGGTTTACAGGGTTTGAACATCTTCAACCTAACTTGATATTGCCAAATTGCTCTCCCAAGTGATCGCACTAATTTATGCTCCTACCAACAGTTTATGAGAGTTGTTTTTCCACAGCTCCAACAGCCTGGGTATTGTTAATGTTCAACCTCATTAGCAATCAGTGACACGTAAATTAACACAACAATGAAACATATTGTGTCCATCAGAAAGCAATAGATTTTCTTCAGGATAATATCCAGTTTGGGCAAGGCAGAAAAGAAATGGGAACATTTGTGTTGTTGGTGTGAATGTAATTGATAGCAGCCTTTGTGGAGAGCAATCTGTAGGAGCTATCTTTCAAAGTACAAGGTGGCACATGTCCTTCCGCCCAGCTTAGATGCTGAGGTAGTATGGAATTAATACTACTAAGCAGCAGTTACAAAGGGTGCTGATACAAATATCCAAGACAAATTGTTAACTGTAAAGTTATCCAAGACAAATTGTTAACTATAAAACAAAACCTTACAAAACCAAACTGCATATGCAAATGCATAAAAATGTTGGAAGACCCAGAACCTGATGGCAGTGGTGACCTCTGGGGAGGGTCAGAGGTAGGAATGGAGTGAGGAAGGGCGCTTTTTGATATTTTTCCCCAGAAGTGATTTGTTTGATTTTTTTTCTTCACTGTCAGTCCATTTTCAGGAATATTAACAAAATAGATAAAACATTTCCCTACTTTTAAAAAAGAAAGGAGTGTTCACTTACCACAGATACGGAATCATGGGTGGAAGCCACAGGCCTTTTATTTTTCTGCAACTGGTCAAGTTGATATTTATAACTTCACCCCCTACAGCCATTCTGTACTCCCTCTTGGCCTTCAGCCAGCACCTCAGCTGTCACGGGAACTCAGAAGTCTGTGACCATGGAGGGCCCAGTTTGGGTGGGATTGTGGTGGTTGGCCTCATATTAACCTTAGGGACTGATTTGCACCCCATGAGGAAGTAGGTTAGGAGCACCTTTTGGGCCCCGGTCATCTTCCTCCCTGCTCTTGTGCACAGCAGCAGCCCTTAATTTCCCCTAGTCACAATAAGCAAATCTGTGGAAGGGGACTCTTCCCCAGCACGAGCAGCCCCCTGCTGGTGTCTGAGAAGCCTGCCTGTGCAGAGGGTCATGCTGGAGGTGAGCTCTCCAAACAAGGGAGGCCCAGAAGGCCTAGACCTTGGCCTCTGGGTCCTGAGTAGCTCAAACTTGTGACCTCAACTAAGTGTATCAGAGCCTCATGTGCAATACCTTCATTCTAGAGGGAGGGAGGGAGGGAGGGAGTCAAGGAGCTGGGGCAGGGGGAAGCATTTGCCTCTGTGATGCCACGGTGGTGATGACTCAGTACCCAGCCATGTTGAGGTCAGTTCTGGCACCCAGTAACTCCTGTGTAGGATGTGGCTGTGTCTCTGGCTGCCCAGTTCCATGGTTCCTGTGTTTCTGATTCTCCAGCTTCCCTGACAATCTCCCAAGCCACCCCCACCCCCCGCTTTCATTAAAACTGTTCTGCTTCAATTAGCTAGAGCTGATTTCCATTATTTGTAACTAAGAACCCTAACTGGCCTGCTTGCTGATACCATAGCCCACTTTTGTGTCTGTTTTCTTAGTCACGTGGGATATCCCGAATGGCTGAGTATCAGGCGAGTTCTCTTAACAAGGTGGTGGACCCATTACTGCACCTGGAGCCGTGGTTCTAGAACGGCTGGCTTCAGCCTTAAAGCAGTTGTTTTTTGAGAATAGGGTACTTGGCATATTCATTAAAGGTGCCATAGCCACACCACCCTTGTGGGGTTCTGGACTGGCTTCTTGACTTTGCGATAAATAGGCCACCTGTGTGGTCACTGATTTGGAGCATAAACGACTACTTACAAGATAGCACTCCAGCTTCCTGAGGTCACCCCCTGCCCCCACTGCTGGTAGGTAGGACAGCTGTACTGTTCTAAGGTCCCTCCCAGCTCTAAGGCCCCATCTTTTCTTAGCTGTCTGTTCCGGCTAGACCCTTCTAAGTTTATGCCTGGACTTCTGGCCTGAAATGTCCTTTCCAGCGCTGTCAATTCTACCCAACCTTTAAAGAGTTCTGGTCGCATGCCAGCTCTGAAAACAATATTTTCTGATACCCCTAGCTCCTCCCATCTCTGTGCCCCATCTCTGTGAGTCATTGAGGCCAGGAGATACCTGATCATTTCCATCATTCCAGCACTTGGTATGGGACAAGAAAGTTTTCGGCAACACTTGCCCATAGGATGGATGAGTTCTCTTGAAAGGTAGGCTCAGGCAGGGGTTATGTTCAGAGAACCCAGGAATAGTCATGGGAGAAAAGGGGGACCCTGGCTCAACCAAATGTGTCTGACCCAGCCTTAGTCCCACTCCTGCCCTAGCCTCTGCAGGCCCCCGGACTCCTCTTCACCCCTCCCACCCTCTCTCCCATTTTCTGTTTGTCCTGCTGAATCCTCAGTGTTTCAGAGGCCGTTGTCAGGCCCAGAGCCTGTGGAGAGGTGGTGCTGCTCATCTTGAAGATGGACACTATAGAGCAGCTGGTCTCAGCACACCCCTCTTTGGCCTGGGTTTAGCACAGAGCTGAGAGGACACCTTCTCTCTGCCCACCTTGGACAAGGCCTGGCGATGAGCAAGCTAGGTGCTGGGATCCTTGAGCCACACTTTCAGCCTGCCTTGGCATTCCATCTGCAGAATGGGCCTTTGCAACCAGGCATACTGCTGCCCATTTCTTCCAACCCCCGCAGGTCTCCCATACTGTTTCCTTCCTCAGGACTTCACTGCCCCAAAGAGGGCAGTAAAACATTAGGGAACCTTCATCATCCCTCACATTTCGATAAGATTTCCTCAGATCCCTTCATGTTCGGTGATGTCACTAGATCCTCCTATCCACGCCCCAGAAGTCACGTGATAAGAAAGCCAAGGTTCAAACAGGTGGTGGCAGTTCTGAAGAGATAACAAAAGTCTGTTTGCAGGGGTGGGGGTGGGTTCACGAGGTGTGGGAAGTAAGATGGATATTTTCTCTCCCACCTTTTCCAACCCCTGTGTGTTGAGGATTGGGTGGGGGTCTTGGGCTGAAGGACTAGGCAAGAGCAGCCTGCCCCCCCTCCCCCCACAAGAAGGCATTGGGCGTTTGGGCAGAGAAAGAGGAGTCATGAGCTGCAGAATCATGGAAAGGCTTTTCCACCAGATGTGGGGCCTGGGAGGTAGCAGCTGCTTATAGACACTTGAAGGAGTGTGGCTAGAGCTTGGCCTCGGAGGCAGCCTGGAGGAAAACAGGAATCAGGTACCAAATACAGGAGAACAAATCTCCAGCCACTCAGGGGAACAAGGACCAAGGCACTGCTTAGCCTGGACCACGCTCAGGTTCTGCAAATGCAGGCCTGGCCACTCAGCTCTTGGAGCTGGGGAATCAATGCTGACTAGTTCGGCTCATCAAATATGTATTGGTCTTCTGCCTGTGGTTTGTCGGACCGAGGACTGCAAGAGCTGAATAAGGTGTAGTCCTTCCCACAAAGTGCTCACCGTCTAGTGTGGCAGACAGACTTGCCCAGAGATGATAGCAAGATACTCAAGACCACCCTGGGGTGACCTGGGAGCAGTCTGGCTGACTGCAGGGGAGGGGGACTGGTCCTTGCAAGTATCCAGGATGCAGCCGCCCCCAAAGCACTAGGAGGTGTTAGCCAGGTGAAGTAAAGGAGGGAAGATGGGCCCTTTCACATATTATCTATCAGTGGGAGTGCCAACTGGTTTGTTTGAAGGGCCCTTTAGTGAAATGTAGCGATATTTACAGTATGCACACCCTTACCCGGCAGTTCCACTAGCAGGAATTTCTCCTACAAGAGCAAAATCACAAGGCTGTCTGTACAAGGATATTTATTGTTGCATTGTTTACAGTAGCAAGAGACTGGAAAGCATTTCAATGTCCATCACTAACAGCCTGGCTAAATAAATTATGGCACAGCCTTCAGACACTTCACTAGACAGCTTTACCCAGCAGGAGGCAGAGGTGGAGCTTGCCTGTAAGAAGACCAAGAAGTTACAAAAGCCAAACATGAAAGAGTGGATCCAGTTACCATGCATGAGATACAAGAGATACATGCCCACCTGTAGTAGAAATGCCTCTGGAAAGATCCACAAGAAACAGGTGCTAAAGTCAGGGTGGGAAGGAGCCTACTTTTTGCTGTGTCTCTTTGGAATATTTGTTAATTTGATTTCTTTTTACTTTGTGTATAAGAGGGACAGAGGGAGGAGAAGGGAGGAGGGAGAGGAGAGCAAAGACCTCAGTCAAAGGGAACTGGATGAACAAAGGCAGGGGCAGGGGAGGATGAAATAGTGTGGTGCATGTGTGCGCATGTGTATATTAGGCCCTGAGTCTTGGAGCAGGGATTCTCCCAGGCGACTTCTAGTAATGAGGTGGGGAGTCAATTGTCAGGATGCAAGTGAGAGAATGGCAGTCAGCCAGGGCTCATAAGCCACAAGGCTGGGCCCCCTGGGAACCAGAAACTTTGGTCCAAGCAGGTCTTACAGGGAGAAGTCCACGGACCAGCTGGCCTCATGAGGTCTGGGGGCTGGAGGGTGGTTCATGCCCAGGGAAGCTCCACACTCATCTCAGGTATGTGAAAGAGATCTCCAGATTGCTTATGTGCATAACAGCGAGATTATTGGGAAATCTGCCATCACGTCAGCTAACAGTGGTTCTCTCTCAGTGGTGGGATTATAGGTAATTATCTTTCCATTTTTTGGGGGGCAGGGCATTTCTCAAATTCCCTTTAGCAAGCAGGTGATCATGGA